TCACATAATTGTTCAGAAATCATTCTAATATGCAGATTTGGTGCTCAAGAAACATTTCTAATCAATGTTGAAAACAGTTTTGCTGAATATTTTTGTGGAAAAATAGGATTATTTTTGATGAATAGAAGGAACAGCATTTATTTCAAATGGACATCCTTTGTAACAAATGTCTTTACTGTCACTTTTAATCAATTTAATATGCTGCTAAATAAAAACAAATTTCTTTCAAAATAAATGGAAAAAACAATTAAAACTCTTTCTGACCCTAAACTTTTAAATGGTAGTGTAAATAACGTATAATAAAAAAAAAAAAATGATCAGGTGATATCATCAAGTGATTTTCATTACAAATCACACTAAACTACCAGCTGTCAGAAAATCAATCCAATCTGGAGCTTTCATTACTAGTAAAATAACGATCTTTGCCCAGAGGGTTAAATTAAAATTGTTTGAAATCTTTCCAATATTTAACGGATGCTAGTTCTCGCCAGTAGGTGCTAAGATGTCAGACGGTCCTTAATCAGGCCTGTTTAACCTTTCTGTAACCTGCAGAACTGATACTCAAATACATTTTCATTTGCAAGTGCTGCTTAGGGGGAAAAAGAAGATGTGCTTTGACCTTTTATTTAAGCGTTAGTAATATAAAACTCCTAAATGATCGCATTCATGCTTGCCGACCCTTCCTGTGCTTTACGTGGAGTGTGTGTGTGTGTGTGTGCGCGCACACATGAGGCAGATAGAATGACAATGAAAGAGATAAAGAGACACACTGTCTAGAAGAGTTATTCAGGTGCAATACAGCATGGTAATACCCGCTGGTTTGACTTGAGTCCATTATTTTCATAATCATATAAAAAGAACCCTATCAGACAAATTCAATTCATACTGCCAGCAATAGAGCTGTGTATTCAGCATTCACTTTCAGAAGAATACACTTCATTTCACCGGCCAAAGAGTGTAATTTTGTTGACGTTGTTGGACTGCTGTAATAAAGATAAAGCAAAGAGAATGTTTGGGATAGAAAAAGTCACAAAAACAGCCCGGTGTCAAACAGCAATGCAAACATTTAAATGCAAAGGATTACATGTGTCATCCAAGGCTGTGTGCCATTTCACGCCGTATTAGGCATCGGGAGCTATTTGAAACAAAGCTTGGCTGGAAAAAGGTCATCTGTCAACTGTGTGTTTACCGAGGAGATCAGTGTAATCTTACATAAACACAATCATGAATGTCGAGGTATGTACAAACACACGCATTTGGAATATAATGACCTGGCGACTGTTCTAGGTGGTCGCTAACGCTCCTATACAAGAATAGTTCACCCAAAAAATGAAAACGTTTATCATTTACTCACCCTTATGTTGTTCCATAGGAAAATCAAAAGGAAAATCATGAAGAATTAAAGGGTTAGTTCACCCAAAAATGAAAATTCTGTCATTAATTACTCACCCTCATGTTGTTCCAAACCCATAAGACCTTCGTTCATCTTCGGAACACAAATTCATATTTTTGATAAAATCTGAGAGCTCTCTGACCTTCCGTAGACAGCAATGCAACTGCAATGTTCCCAGGTCCAGAAACATAGCAAGGACATCGGTAAAATAGTCCATGTGACATCAGTGGTTCAACCGTAATTTTACGAAGCTACAAGAATACTTTTTGTGCGCAAAGAAAACAATAATAACATAATTTATTCAACAATTCTTCTCCCTGAGATACCATCTTCCACCATTTTGGAGAGTACCCCAGAACGTAATCAACATTACGTTCAGCATGTGCGTGCTGTCTACTGAACGTAAACAGCACTGATTACTTTCATGTGCGTGCTTACCCCCCCCCCAATGTAAACAACGCTGATTACATTGATTACGTTCTGGGGTACTTTTATGATTTTAAGGTACTTTTTAAAGCTTAGAAGCCTCAGTGTTCTTAGAATAATGACTAGAGTTATAAAGTTCAACAGTCAGGCTCCGTTAAGTAAAAACCTCTCCATAGGGAAACTGATTTTTAGTGACAACTGATAAACCATTACAGGCAGAACTATAGTAAGCTCCGAAGATGTTAATCGATTGTATGTGTTTTTGTTGAAGTCATATGATAACAATAATTCAACTTATTAAAAAAATAGTTGTGTTTAACAGTGGAATTCCAGGTGGAAAACAACATTATAAAACTACATTAAAACTTCATTACCCAAGACGCTGTACAGAAAAGTCCACCAATCAGACAGTTGCAGTGAGCAAAGCAAATCAATAGAGCTCCGCCCACTTCCATGAAGCACCATGAACGACGCAGTTGATTCTGTCTTCCTTTTGCTATAAAAATACTTCAATATTTGTAAAATATCCGCATATTTTCCAATAAACTTAAAATATATTGTTTGTTTGGGTACAACCGATGACTTCAAATTTATATTTTAATTGCAGTTTTAATTTTGCAACGGGAATTTCTTCACTAAATCATTACAGGCAGAACTATAGTAAGCTCCGAAGATGTTAATCGATTGTATGTGTTTTTGTTGAAGTCATATGATAACAACAATTCAACTTATTAAAAAAATAGTTGTGTTTAACAGTGGAATTCCAGGTGGAAGACAACATTATAAAACTACATTAAAACTTCATTGAAATACGGAACTAAGTCACACAAATTTGGAGGGTGAATGACAAGATAATTTTCATTTTTGGGTGAACTATTTGTAAAATATCCGCATATTTTCCAATAAACTTAAAATATATTGTTTGTTTGGGTACAACCGATGACTTCAAATTTATATTTTAATTGCAGTTTTAATTTTGCAATGGGAATTTCTTCACTAAATCTGTCAAGTACACAGCTTTCTACCTTTGTTGTTTTGTCCAATTTTCAAATCCAAGTTTGTAATGTTGTAATTCACTCCCTCAATCACCTGGTTGGTTTACTTCATGCCTTATAACACTTTAACATATTCCTGGGGGGGGAAAATACGGAACTAAGTCACACAAATTTGGAGGGTGAATGACAAGATAATTTTCATTTTTGGGTGAACTGTCTTTTTAAGACTATCCATGCTAAAAGCATCAGTATCCCATCACGCTTCCTGCTGCTGAATGTGTGAGAGCATGGTAATGTTTCATATCAGTGTCAGAACACCCTGTATTACACCACATCACTCAGCTCTCTGCACAAGTTCACTGTCTCTGTCAGTATCAATCTCTCTCCGTTTCTCTTAGCGAACTGATCCTTTTAGTTCTTGTGCATCCGAAATGACTCACACGTTCCGTCTCTTCCTCGAAACTCTTCCCACTGCGGTGCACCTCTAAACCTCTCTCTCTCATTCCCATTTCAATTCCACATCAAAGAGGCGAATCAATGCAGAGCCACTAACGTTCACTTCTACAACAGCGCCCTTCATCGCAACCTCATCTTCATGGTTGTATCATTTATTCTCATTCCTCCCTTTTCTCCCTCAGACACATGAGGACTTTCTTTCAAGGAGGTTTTCACTCTGATTTGTTGCATGCACAGACATACAAAGTAAAGCTCATGTGCACATGCATTTATTTCCTCTGTAACCTTTAACATTGATTTTCTGCTTTTAAAGTATAGACTTGTGGGTTGGGTGTATTCAGAGATGGCAATGGATGGAGGCAGAGATTGCATCTATATAAATATCACATTCTCTCATGTCTTTTTGGCTGGATTTCAATTGTATCTATATAAACATCACATTCTTTATGATTATTCTTACTTTTGTACTGCTGCTATTTACTGCCATGGTGTACAGTTACACAGAAGGTTGGATGAGGGGTCAACAAACTTGAAAGTGATATTTTAATGAAATTTATAATCATTGTGTTATTCAATGCAATCAATGTTATTATACTATACTGGTCAAAAGTTTGAAATCATTATGATTTTAACGTTTTTGAAAGAAGCCTCTTATGCTTACCAAGCTGCATTTATTGGAGCAAAAATACAGTAAAAACAGTAATATTACAAAATATTATTACAATTTAAAATAATTGTTTTCTATTTTAATACATTTTAAAATTCTTGTGATGGCAAAGCTGAATTTTAAACATCATTACTTCAGTCTTCAGTGTCACATGATCCTTCAGAAATCATTCCAATATGCTCATTTGCTGCTCAATAAATATTTATTTTTAATGTAGCCTTGCTGTCTAAAATTTTCAGAAAACAGTGATTTTTTTTGTCAGGATTCTTTGATGAATAGAAAAAAAACAATATTATTAATGTCTTTACTGTCACCTTTGATACATTTTGATCAATCTTGCTGAAAAAAGTATTCATTTTTATTCATTTTATATATTTAAAAAAATTTAACCCAAACTTTTTAATGGTAGTTTATGACAGTTTCCAAAAATCTTGAATGATTTCAGACTTGTTCAATCAGTATGCCTTATATTTATAACGTACAATACAGTATATAATACAGGTGTATTAAATTATTCTAGAGAAGTAGCAATGTCTGATTAATGAATGAGTCATTCTTTTGAGTCAGAATCAGTTGATCTATTCAGAGAACTGCTCTGAATTATTTGTATACCTACGTTGGTATTTATAATATACTGTGTAGTATATAGAATTAAGAGCCCATAACTTCAGATTATGCATCATATAATTTAACTTAAATCATGTAAAGGTTTTTTTACACTCACATTTCCCACCTGTGTTAATTCTGGACCTTCTAATTATTACTAAAATTGACAATCAAATAAAATGATAATCACATACATTAGTATTTCTGTACCCCTGGGTTACATGGATGGTGTTTTTATAAGATAGCCTTACTGAAAATAGCCTTAAATAATAGCCTTACTGACTTCTTTATCTTGATTAGCAAAGTCAACCAGCTGAGATTTGCTGAAGGTCCATCAGCTGGAACAGCATGAGCCTGCATAAACTACTCTAAAAATTCATAATGTTCCAAAGTGGTATTTTTTAGCATTGAAACTTGCACTGATCGCATGTTCTTTTCCTCACCTGTCTTTCCATAGGCTGTGGTCTGGAGTTTCTCCTGGTGCTGTGTGGTTTAGAGTTGACCCAGGCGTGTCCCCGTCACTGCATCTGCTACGACTCTCCCAGCACGGTGAGCTGCCAGGCTCACAACTTCCTGGTGGTTCCAGAGGGAATCCCGGCCCAGAGCGAGCGAGTCTTTCTGCAAAACAACAAGATCCAGCGACTACTGCAGGGCCATTTCAGTCCCACCACCGTTATGCTTTGGCTCTACTCCAACAATATCTCATACATCCAGCCCTCCACATTCATGGGCTTCACCCGCCTGGAGGAACTCGATCTGGGGGACAACAAACATCTCCGTTCTCTGGCTTCTGACACTTTTCAGGGCCTGACCCGACTCCATGCTCTGGACCTCTATCTGATGTTCTGTTTAAATATATCATGTTTAGGTCCTCCTCAGCCAAATTGAGTGTGAATTTATAAGACGCTTGGCTTGGCACGGTTGTGCTGACACTTTAGAAAATCTGACTGGATACAATACCATTTTAAAGAAATCAAAAATGCCCTTCTTGAATGGATATCCTTTTTTTTAGACTGGCAGTGCTCCCGGTTGGAACTGTTGCTTAGGAATCATCTGACTTGCCAAATAAATCCAGATAAGATCTGCTCAAAATGTTCAATATGCCTTGGCAGCGAAAAGTGCTGCACTAAAACGATGACCAGAGACTATATTTTGTTCTAATGAAAATGTCAAAAACGGAAACATACTATTCGGGTGCAAAGAACATTGCGGACACACGACTCTTGGAATTTGATTTATGTTTAAGGTTAAGTGCTTCTGACATTTCATGAGTTTTCTTAAGGCTAGTCATATATTCGAGATTATGGATATTGTGGTTAATCTGATAAAGATCATAGTGCAATAAAGGGCTCAAATAATAAAGACAATCCAAAATGTTTTTGACATGAAAGCCTCTATGTCCTTAATTTTTTTAAATTGCTTAATATATCAGAAAAATTCTCTATTATCTATTCTCCAATAAAATGTGCCAAGAAAAGCAGTGTCTTCCAGTGCTTTCCGCTCAGCTTGTTTTGCCTCACTTTCACAGTATTTAGCTTCCCATATAGCTCATAAACTGATAAAAGAGGCGTACTGATGAGGATGGATTATCGTGAGAGGTAGTTTGGCATACATATGGAATTTACTTCCATATTTCTAATAAAAAAATTAATAAAAAATGATTTACACATTAATTGCTCTCATACCAATCTTTGCAAAACCTGCACTGTCACGCATGCCTATTCATCATTAATACCAATGCAGAGGTAAAGAGTTCACATATTGTCTATAAATGTGTTTACCTTCAACCCACTGTGTCCTGAGAACACCATGTATTGAAGGCACGCTGGATTTTGAAAAGATTCTTATAAAAGGAATACATACAAGAAAAGGGAAAATCTAATATCTAATATGGTCCAGTATGGATATCCAAGGTCTTCCAATTTTATGATTCATCTTTGAACTGCCTTATGAAAAGGACACAGAAGCAATTGCATGATTTGATTTGCTCCTTTCCTTGAATATGTTTTGCAGTTTTATTTATTTATTTCTCAGACAATGACAAAAATATTAATGATTAAGCTATTTTAAATGATGAAAAAATGTGTAAGTAATATTTTTCAAATACAAACACATCTACTGCTGTGAGATATAAACAATACACTAACAATGTTTTTAGCGTTTTATCAATGTTTTCTCATTCAAATGGTCCAATCATAGTTATTTGAGCTGATTGAGCTGTTTTGTCGCAACATGATTTCAGTCAGAGTAAAACGGGCTAAAATAAATCCATACAACATGATGAAATATTGAGTACATTTGCCAGGACATTTCATCAAAAGACAAAAACAATAACACGGTCGCTTTGGATATTCATATCTGTGACTTGTTTTTTCTGTGCCTGTTACTGACTGTTGGTGTTTATCTGCCGGTCTACAGAACAACCAGCTGGAGTTTCTTGAGGATGACATGTTCATTGATCTTCTGAATCTAAGCCATTTATTTCTGCATGGAAATCGGCTGTGGAGCCTCCACCAGAACACTTTCCGTGGCCTGGGGGCCCTTGATCGCTTGCTGCTCCATCAAAACCGGCTCCAGTGGGTTCACAAACAGGCTTTCCACGACCTGCGCCGCCTGACGACTCTCTACCTGTTTAACAACTCTTTACCTGAACTTCCGGCCGAAAGCTTGGCTCAGCTGCCAGCGCTGGAGTACCTGCGGCTCAACGACAACCCTTGGGAGTGCGACTGCAAGGCTGTGCCGCTCTGGGATTGGCTGCAGCGCTTCCGTGGCTCCACCTCCTCATTAATATGCGCGGCTCCGCCAGAGCTGGCGGGAAAGGATCTGAAACGGTTGACAAAAGAAGAGCTTCCCTCCTGTACAGGCTCAGAGTCGCTCCACCAGAGCAAATCCAGCCAGGGGGACGTGGGGGTGTCACTGAAGAAAGAGCATCATCATCGATCGCGTAATCATCATCATCATCATCCTCACCTGCCACATCAGGATCAATACTACCCCACCTCCCCGTCGCCGCTTCCTCGACCGCCCAAGTCGGGACGCAACAGGAACTGCACAAGGCATCGAAGCCGCAAGGGCAATGCTCAGAACGAGGTGTATAACCTGAAGGAGTTAGCCAACAAGGAATCGGACGACAAATATGACCCGTCAAAACCGAGACGAAAGAACAAATGCATCCCTCGGACTTCAGTGGGTCCCCCTAGTGGCGTGCAAAGAGTGAATAGCAAGGCGGCATCCCTCTTGGCACCTTGTTTCATCATCCCTCTTTGCTTATTGGTGTGTCTCACAGACCTTATTTTCCGCTGAGCCTTGTGGAAGCGTCTACTAATGGTTTTCCCGAACAAACTCAGCCCTCTGTCTACTCTGGCTCCTACACTTCAGTGTGCGAATGTGTGTGTGTGTACGTTTGTGTGTACATGTGAGCCCCTTTCGAGGGACAGAGGACTTGTGCGAAGTTGCAGGCCTGGAATTAAAACCGAGATGGCAAGAAACTCTGGGATTTGTGGGCGAGAGACGGGACACTAAATGGACTAAATGGACTACTCCTCGTCATGGACTACAATCATCACCATTTCCTGTTGCTCCAGGGCATATTCAATAACAAAAAAAAAACCAAATACATTTGATAACTACATTCAGTTGTACATCACACCTCTGCAGAATAATTAGCAGCTCATTGTGGTCAAGCTCATCACCATTAAAACCTCCGAAACCCTGTCCTGACCTTTGACCTTTGGGCTGCAGCCTGGGGGGGGGAATCAATATTCACACATTAAAGCTGGTTCACACAGCCCCGACAAATGCTAACAGGGTTGATCCAACAAAACAAAAAGTTGCTGTTTACGGTCGCAGCGTGAATTAGAGCTCAAATTCTACTGTTCTAAAGCTGCTATGCTGGCGATGTCAGTAAAGAGAAAGTAGAGTTGATGAAGGATTATGGGATGGCTTTGGGTTTGTGTGTGTTGTTATTCGTTGATTGTGCCCTTAAGATAATATTTTGCATAAAAACCGGAAGGCAAAAGTTATTAAGACATGAAAAGGTCAAGTGGAGCTCATGCAAAAAGCATCATGCGTTATCTGTTGCTCAGCTGCAATAATGTCCCTAGAAGGGAAATAACACCAACACTACATTAATATCTGCACATGGCACAGTCTGGGAAAATTAAACAGCAAAGTTCACAATGGGAGAAATACAGCTGTTCAGTCACAGACGTCAAGTCTAACCTGGAAGAGTAATTTGCCATAGGTTCCCTCAGGAAGTTCTTAACGGAAAGAAAAGCATCTCAAACAGTTAGATATTTTTGTCATTATAAATAGCACTAATGAAGTAAAGTGCAAACACTGTGCACCTGTATATATTTTATGTTTTTTAAACTACACATCTTTCATTATTATTAAAAATAATTATATATATATATATATATATATATATATATGCGGTTTGTATGCGATAACAGTAGTTTAGTTGATTACAGTTTACAGAAATGAAATGAAATGTTATAGTTTCACATTAAATCTAACAGACGGAATTTATTAGACCATTTATTTCCAAACTGGGGGTTGGGGACTAGGGGGCCACAACTGAGTGTGCAATCAAAGTTCTGAGAAGAAATTTCTGAGAAAAAGTAAAGTAAATAAATAAATAAGATTATTAATAAATATATATGCTATAATGTATAGTAAATAGTAATACGGTATGTTGAGTGGATGGTTCACCCAAAAATGAACAGAAAATAAATGCATACATGTTTGAAATGACATGAGGAGGACTAAACTTTATTAAAGTACCAAATAATTACATTAAAAGACTTGTTCTATGAACATAATTTACATAGTCACACCCACATCATGGATTGTTTTATCAATACATTGTAAATAAGTTGATAAATAAGGACAGCAACTACAGGTATCACAAGTATGTGAGTTTACATGCTCAATAGGTCAAACAACCTTTGTAGGCCTTATGTAGCCACTTGTTAGCCATTTTAAATATATAAAAAAAGTTCTAGAACAAAATGTGAACAATAATGTTATCCACAGGCCTTATTTTACTTATAAATCAGAAACTACTTTCTAAAAAACCCATTAGAAACTCCAGAGGGAACCCATTGTCCAAAAATGCCAATTCTCGTCCAGGTTTTTTTGGAGTAGGCTACAAAGTGAAAATAGAAATATAGAAAGTCAACACAAGTTCTGAGGTAATAATCCTTGCAATCCAGATAAATCCTTGCAAGCCATAAAACAAACTTGTCTGTCACTCACGGTCTCTGACCCTTGCTGCTGTTGAGCCATCAAACATTTGTCTGTATTAGGATCCTAAAGCTGAGCGTTATATTGTCAATGGAAAAAGTCACAACGCCCCCTTCTGGACAGGTGGGGTAATAGCACTTCCCCCACCTCTACCTTGTCCCTCCTCAAAGACTCTCTACCTTCATACAAAAGTGAACTGAGAATATTATGACATGTTCAATGTGAACATTTATTTGTTTGAGAATATATGTCACTTATTGACTAAAGACTATGTGTATGACATTGTTGAAGGAATGAGGAAGTTATTTTGTATTCATGTACTTTTTCTTTGTACACTGTCGTCAAACTGCAATTTTGAACATTGAAGTGCACCATACTAACACCTTCCTCGTATTCCTCGGCCTGTCCTTCATCTTTCTTCCTCCCTTTTTCATAACTCAACCTTTCTGTCTGTTATGAAATACCACCAGACTCAAAAGCTGTTTCTAAAGAACATTAAAGACGCTGATGGTTTTGGATGACTCTCTTTGGATTCTGCTTGAAAACAGAATAAAGTAGAAATCAGATGCTGTTTAACCAGGGAAATGATCACACAAGACAGAGCTTTTCATTTTCTGGAGTTACTGCAGAAACATTTCATAATAATTCACATTAAATCTCTAGGCTGATTTAAATTCTGATTATAAAAGGCAGACAAGATATAGCACTTTCTCAATTGCATATATTTGACCTAGTCACACACACACAATGGGAATATAATTGAACGTATATATATTTCAAGCATAATGTCTTCAGGGACTTGCAGGACATCTCCTTTCAATAGACAGACATATTTTATTGAACCCTGAGGGGGAATTCTGTCACCCAGACAGACGGTAAAGCCTGCTCAAACTGTTGCTATGTACATTATGAGAGTAGTTGATCTGAAATGGAAAAATGAGTGTAGAGGAATATGAGTTTATGCTAATACCTGCTATAGCGCCCCCTGTGGTTTGGGCCAAAGCTAAAGCACTTCAACTGTGTTTGTTTTGGGTTTTTTCCTCACAAGAAACAGACAGCTCAAATTGGTTTGTCAATTCACCTTTTAGTGCTTAATCCTGTTCTGTTCACACATACTGCAGTAATTCACAGAAGTAACAAATACTTGTTAATGATCTATTTGAACGTTTATCAGAGTTGTGTCTTTTCTGTATGTGCAGTGCAAGAAATCAAATCTCAAATCCAAATGCATTATCTTGGAAATAAGCCGCATACCAAAATATAGCAACCTGTCTACTTTATTGCCTCCATAAACTGTATATCTGTATAAGGCGAGCCCGAACAACAAGCCCAAAGATGCTTAATATGTGTTGCTTATAATAATTGGACATGGCAACCCTTCAAGAGTGTGCTCTTCAAAGCAGCCTTCCAAACAAACAAAACATGATGGATCTGTTAACGGTGGTTTAGTTAAAATCAACGAACATAATGAGTCTTTGATCACTGTAATATTACTTTGATTAAAAATAGTAAATACCAATGCGCAAGAAGCCATAACGTTGCTATGGTTATCATGCTGTCAATCATCACAGTTTCGAGGGTGGGTTCTGATCTGTACCCACACGAATCTATAATTTAGGTGACTCGCCCCATATTTAAACGCAGTTGTCACTCCCATAACTGTACAGTGTGTACGTGGTCAATGTAATACAAAGTAGAACAAAATGACAGTGTTTCACAACAAAAAAAATGGTTGACACGGAAGGTCAGAGAGATTGTTAATGGAATTTGTAAGGAAAAATTGCCTTCTTTTCACCCTTGGCACCTGATGAAAAGTGGTCTGAGAGTTGGGATAAAGTCGAGTTTTGTTTTGTCATTCACGAAGAGAAGAACTTTATGCAAGACTGCGGTACAGACAGTCTCTGAACTACATGAAATATAAGCAGTCTGAATCTCTTTCCGAAGCAACTGACCTTCTCTTTCTGTTATGCTTATTCCCATGTTAAATATTGGTGAAACTTCATGACATGACTAAAAGTCTGCAAACAGTATGATATTGACTGGAAAAGCAGTCCATGCGTGTAACATTTCTGCAGTATATACACTGTGCACAGTTAGCAAATTTTCTGTATGCATGGAATATCTGGATGACCTTCTGCATTTTCCAGACTATGCAATACACAGTGAGAGCACACTGTGAAAATACAGTGTCCCACAATGTAATGCACCCAAATCTATTTTCAGATTGGCACATAAACGCCAATCTCCTTTTTAAAACAATGACTTGATTTTTGAGACATTTTTAGACCAAATTTTTTATTAAAAATAACTGTTTTTATTTCTAACTTACCATGAATGAATTAAAGATGCAACATATAAAGTCGCTTAACAACAATGAAACTTTTCAATGTTTTATACTGTTTCACATGCTATTAAAAAGAAAAAAAATGTATTTGATAATATTGTGTAATATTATTACAATCTGTATTCTATTTATAATAGAATTATAATATATTTTAAAATGTAATTTATTTCTTGGTAAAGCTGAATTTTCAGCCGCCATTACTCCAGTTTTTAGTATCACATGATCCTTCAGAAATCAATCTAATATGCTGATTTGGTGCTTTTGATGATGAAAAAAAAAAAAAAAAAGTAATTTCTTAAAAAAAACAAAAACCTTACTGACCTCAAACTTTTGAACAGTAGTGTAGATACTGCAAAAATGTATGATAAAAGTATGATATGCCATATATAGCCAGTATAGAACTAGTATTCCATTATGAACATAGCCGGAGTCGACTTCATTTCTAATTTAAAATTCTAATATAAAATTCTTTACATATAAAGAATTTATTTAATAATTAAATTATTCATTTCATTCACATCCCAAGTTAAACCAACCCTTGCTTGCCATCCCTGAAAAGAAAACCAGAAACTGCAGTCAAATCAAGAGCTGACTTCCTCAAATAAACCCCTGTGTCTATCAAAACATCGCTTTGGTTGTTTGAGCATCACAACCAGCCCAACAACAGCAACAATGAATCAACTAATGGCATGAATTTGGGGGTGGGACTATCTGATTGACTGACCAATAGCAGAAGGGGTTCATGAAACTTTGATAACAGCCATTATATGGCAGGTCCATTAAGTGAGGCTAGTAGTGTGGAAACACACACTTCACTTTAACTTTAGTCTTCACAAAAAAGCACTTAGCCTCTGCAGATTTGCATTCTTTATTCGCTACACACTCCATCTTCTCGTTAGGGCAGTGCAATGTGTGTTTAATTAAATACAAGCATATTAAACACAAGCATATTAAAACGCAAGAGGACAATGAGGTGAAGGAGTGCCCCTCATAGAGTCCTGGAGCATAAGGGCTGATGACACTTCAAAAAAATGAGTCTGAGCAGGAAAGGAGGCAGGTGGGGACGAAAAAAAGAGGTATGTGAAGAGAAATGAAAGGGCTCTTTTGTTTCTTCTGTCTACCTACTGAATCCCTCTTGCCCTTCGTCCCCCTCCTCCGTCAG